CAGACTTAGCAGCAAGTGAACCATCTACTATCCCCTGAACCATCTCACTGGCCCTTTTCTATCTCATTTCTTAAGATGGGGGGGGGTCTCTCAGTGAACTTGGAACTCACTGATTGGTCAGACTGTCTGATCAGTGAGCGCTAGAAACCCGCTGTCTCTGCTTTCCAGCACTGGGTCACAGGCATGCACGGTCACACGGACCACATGTGGCTTTTTACCTGGGTGCTGGGACCCACACTCAGGTCTTCATGCTCATACAGCAAGCATTTACCTGCCGAGGCATCTATATGTATCTGCTGAGACTTTCTAATGTTAAAACAACCCATCATAATGGAATAACTCCATATAGTTATCATGATCGTGTGTGTGTGTGTGTGCGCAGTATTTTGGGGATTAAATGCAGAGTCTTGCACAAGCCAGGCAAGTAACTTACCACTGAGCTGTACTCCCCAGCCCACTTCTTTCATTTTTATTTGACATATGACTCAGTAAGTAGTCTAGCCTGTCTAGCGTCACAGTCTTCCTGACTAGACTCCCAAGTGGTTGGGATTCCAGGTGTATACCACCACATCTGGCTCTCTTTTGATAGATTGCAGGTTTAGCTTGCTGACACTGTGTCAGTGATTTCTGTGTCTGTGCTGATGTGGGAGGTGGGTTAAATAAGACAGTATGAAGTATAATAAAATATAATTAGTACAGTGTAGTGAGTGAAAGTGCTGGGGCTCAGCTCGGCAGTGCTGCCCTTGCCCTGCACGTCCAAGTCTCTAGGTTCAATCCTGGACCAGCAACTGGGAGACAAAAAGTCAAATCTTGTAGCAGCTGTTGACTTTGGGGAGGTCTTAAGCAGTGTGACTTAGCAGGAGGAACAAGAGTTCACGTAAGTTCTCACTGTCTCATCCACATCGGCTTTGCCATAGTTCCTACTGATGGAATTCCCACACTCTTCCCCCTGTGGACGGGGCCTGTGCACCTCGACTTCTCAGGGGCTTTGGCTGATAAGAGCTGTCTTAGAGATTGGATCTTCCCCATCAGGACTGACGGAGTCCCTCATGTTTCCTGTCTTCGAGACAGCCAAAATCAAATCCCTCTCCTTGTCTCTCGAGGTCTGCTCGCTTAACTTTCCTTACAAACTCCTCACAACACTACCTCTGCTTATCAAACTCTCTCTCTTCTCTTAGGCTCCATCAGTCCACTGAACTTTTTGTTTTGGGGTGTGTGTGTGGGGGGGTCCCTGTCTGGTCTTAGTGTAAACGGTTAATCTTCAGGTCTCATGTGACACCTGCTGATCACGACCTCCTTCCTGATGATGACTGGCTTCAAGAATGTGAAATTTAAAATTTTTCTTCTAATTTTCTTGTCACTCTGCTTGTCTCCATGGTTCTAAACTTGAGGGGCACAGGCTTCAGCCGTTCACCTACTTACTCTGTGTGATTTCATCTGGCCTCACAGGCTTAGGCAGCATTTGTTTGCTGGAAACTACATTTTTTTTTTTTTTCTACAGAGAAGACTTTATTCATTATTTTGCTGAATAACATAAGGGGTAGAGACTACAGAAGACAATAGATTTTTTTTGACAATAGATTTTTAAGGCCTATAAAATATCCACTATGGTCCACTGTAGTTTCTATTACTTGGATTTTATTATTTGAGAATCATATCTCTATTTTTTCACATTGTTCTGATTTCCAAAACTGGTTACCCTGTACACACAATCAGAAGGACCAAGAAATAGAATTTCCATTATGAGTATGCCATTCTTTCCAGAACAGGTTGTTCCGATTATGGAAACTACATTTTTATTTCCAACCCAGACATTCCCACTGAATTGACTCACAATTTACCATTTCTAATTGGATGTTAAGTGGGTACCTGGAGCTTACCAGTTCCTAACCTGCCTTTACTTTCCTCCTAGCCCGTGGTTCCCTGCTGCCATTAACAGCCACTTCATTTTCTCTGGGTTAGACCAGGCCTAGGCGTCATAACTGCTCCTCTCACAGTCTGTGTCCAATGTGTCAGAAATCCTGTTAGTTCTACTTTTATACTGTTTCAGAATGCATCTACTGCATTCCATCCCTACCGCTAATCTGGTGTAAGTCATACTTATTCTTTGCCTTGGGTATCAGAAAACATGCTGTCTCCGTGTTTTGATGACATTGCCCAATTGGCAGCCAGAGTGATCCTTTTAACTCTCACTCAGCATGTGGCTACAACTTCTCAGTGGCTTCCAGTCTCACTGGAAGTAAAGGTGAGGCTACTTGCAACACTACCCACCAGATCAGGCATCTCAAGGCTCTAAACTCACCTCCCACTGTGTTCTCTAGGCTCTACTCCAGTCAAATTGGCTTCCTTGATAATTCTTAGTTACCAGAGCAGGGCCTCTGTACTTGCTTTTAGCAATGCCCCTCTCTGGTTATGGGTAGGGTCAGAGCTTTCTTCATTTTTTATGAAAAAACAAAAAACAAAAAACAAAACCCTTACTTTCTTAGAAAGGTTCTTCTGAATACTAATTAAAACTGTAAAACCTTTCAAAGTATCTCTTTGTCCTTTGTCTGTTTCATTTCCTATGGTCATTAGTATATTAGTAGTTTAGTGCCTAATGTAATTTATCTTTCTCCCACTCCAGAATGTATGTTCTAGGAAGTCAACAGTTTCATAGATAAATGAATGAAAGTCACACTATTTAATCTTATTGTATGATTGCAGGCAACTGGTAGGCATAAGTACTTTATCAATTAAAAATGCCAACTTTTTTTTTCTCTTTTTTTGAACAAGGTCGGGAATGGGGAGAAGGGACATGATGGACATGGGACCGCCACACCTGGCACCGGCAGCCTGCAGAAAGCCAACTTTATGCACCAGGATTAAAAACAGGTACATTTGGTGCTGATATCAACCACCTCAATAGCTCCTTGTTCCCTGTGCATAGTGTTGCATATGTTTGTTAATAGTTTCACGGCACAGCGTATGTATCTTTTATATGTAATTGATGTGTGCCACTGTAAAAGTGTTTGTGTTTCGGTTTTTGGCTGATGCATATTTTTAGAGAATAAGCCCATGGGGACAGTGTGCTGAATCACTAGATCAGGACAGAGTCGTAAAGAGCATTAAAACTTCATTCTAATTCTCCGAAAGCCTCAGAGGCTGAAAAATGAGCCATTACCTATTTGTTTATTTATAACTTAATTTATTTCTATAAACATTTTAATTCTATACTATTATTGGGAAAATGACAAAATAGGCTCATAAGAAGGCACAAGCACTACTGGAGATTTGTAAATGTAGACAGTCTGGGAAAATAAAGCTCAACTGTTCCTTCTAGAAGTTGCCAACTTAGAGAGCGCATTTCAGAAGAAAACAAGCTCTGTTCTCTCCCTTCACGTTGCTCTGTTTCTCATGGCCGTAGCAACCCTATGACCAGTGAGCACATGGCTAAGATGGTATGACTGAAACGCCATAGCATCCCTATGACCAGTGAGCACATGGCTAAGATGGTATGACTGAAACACTATTTACATGCTGCCCACAGTGGAACATAACGCTCATGGCTCCCACACGGAGTACTACGCTCTGATCATAGAGAAGCAAGGGCTATGTATGTATGTATGTATGTATGTATGTATGTATGTAGTTGCACAAACACAGCAGTGGATCTAAACTCACTGGACCTTGGAAACTCCACAGATAAACATGTCTGTCTACACTGTCCAGCTCATTGTCATGATTAAGCATGATAGTATCTGTAGATAAAGTGCTTATCACAGGTAACACTTGGCTAGTGCTGAGCAGAGTAGAAGGCAGATGCTGGTATTTCTGTCAAGTCTTCATACATTAGAGGACGACACTGGGTCACTTAAATGCCTCACTCTCCTGAGATAGACAGAGTCTCTCACTGGTTTTGAAGCTTGCTACTCAGCAGCAAACTCCAGCAACCGTCTTGTCTCCACTCCAGTCAGCACTGGAGTGACAGGTGCACAAGCTGCTACGCTCGGCTTTGAATGTGGCATCTCAGGCACATGCTTGTGTATGCAAGCACTCTAAAGCACGCAGCCATCTCTCCAGCCCTAGGTTATGGCTTTTCTCACTGTAAATAGCAAAGGCTACCTCAAGCTTGATTCCACATTTTGAGTAAATTATTTACTGAGCAATTCCTATGTGCAAACTGATAAGCTTCTGAGGTTCTACCAGGAACTTAGAAAGACGCTGTGCTAGGAACCCGAGAGCGGCAGCCTGGGGAATACTAGATCTCTCTCCGTACTTCTCTTAGGATGCTGCTTTCAGTTTTCTTCTTGGTAGATTGCCCTTTGAGGAGTGAAAAGCTCGGACTCTAAAATGAAAAAATAAAGGTATCTATATCTACATAGAAGCTACCACGTCTAGATATTAATGTTCCAGAAACAAGGAGAGACAGTGTGCTGCACTTTGACCGCCTGATCTTCTATATGAAAAATACTGTTTTTGAGGCAGGGCCTCATACCAGACTAGCCTGAAATCCACTGTGTGTTCCACGTTGGCCTTGAGGCTGAGGCAATTCTCCTGTGTCATCCATCCTTCTTTTAAAAAGGAAGTCAGTTAACACCGTCTTTGTGAGTTAGTTCAGTCAGCACCTGAGCTAAGTGTTCTCCACTTATAAAAGAGAAAATGGAGACCCAAAATAGAAAAATTTCCCAAGTTCAAGGGCTAGTGAATCCTGGAAAAAGAAGTCCAGTCTGGAGGCTGTACAGGGGCCGGGACGGGTGTGGGTACAGAGGCAGGGGGAGGGGCAAGGGATGAGTGAAACCTGTGACTTTTACCTGGCAGGGGCTTGATCTGCCTGCTTCACCCTAACCCCAGTCCTGCTGGAGCTTCACAACTTTTACAAATTAAAAAAAAATTAATGCAATGTTCCAGAAACAAAGCTGTAAAAGTGTTTCCATGGAGAAGTAGTTCTGTGTACTCTTGCTATTATCACAGACCGGAAGTGGCTTGCCTTTCTCAGCATCCTCCTGGAGGCGGACACTTACCTTCCCACTCGGTTGGGATGTCTCCTGCTTCATAGTCTACCTCCTTTCTGCTCGCTGTTTCTACAATCCTTTTCTCTCGAATAGTCTGCCCTGTAAAATCAAACGAACATTTGACATGAGCCTGCTCTACTGTAGCTATGACAGGTTATATTTTATTTTGATTATTGCATACCACATTATACGGCAAAATTATTAAGTTATTAGGAAAAAAGAATAAATTTTGCTTAGAATTATATGGTGGAAAAGGCAGTTTCTAAACTACTGTAAATTTTATACTTTCTAGCATTGAAGGCAAAATTAATTTTCATAGAGCAAATCTAGATTCTATTTAAAAAGATTAACCCATTAATCTTGCAGGACACTAATAACTAATAAAAAATAATAATGAAGTGTGTGACTCCCAAAACTCACAGCATATATATTATAGTGCCGACAGCTGCTGTGCCTGCTGTGCCAGGGAACTGATAGCCATAGCCCTCACTAAGTAGGAGACACAGATCTTGCTGCCACTCTGTTCTCACAGCACACGGGGTTGGATTCTGTGGTCCTGCCTCTCAGACTTGGATTCTGTCACCAATCTGGGTCACTATTTCAAGGGAATATAGGAACAAGGGACAAAAATGGTGAGTCGCTGAGCAGTGGTGGCACATGCCTTTAATCCCAGCACTTAGGAGGCAGAGGCAGGCGGATTTCTGAGTTTGAGGCCAGCCTGGTCTACAGAGTGAGTTCCAGAACAGCCAGGGCTATACAGAGAAACCCTGTCTCGAAAAACCAAAGAAAAACAAAACAAAACAAAAACCTGGTGAGTCTCAGAGAGGGCAGCTAGGTGAGACCTCTAGTTTAGAATTCTTGCTCTACAGTCTCCCTTCTTGAGCAGTGTCCACAGCTGAGGTGGACTGGTGGCATTGTAGATGTGGATTGGTGGCAGTGTTGACATGAAAAAACAGAAAGGAAAGAGAAACATGAAGAAAAGCTCGAGGCAAATTCCCTTGATGTACACAGGGAATCCTGAGTTGCACGGAACCAAATTCAACAATGCACTGAAAAGACCACAGGGCATGACTGAGGAGGTATGCCTGTGGAGGCTGGAAGGCCACTCTGAGCTGCCCGTGTCCAGCACTACACATCCTCTGATTGTCTGTTTATTTTGTTGGAGCTCCTTTGTTTGGTGAGTCTGGCTGACCAACGAACTCTATGGATTTGTTTTCTGAGAGCTGGGATTACAGGCATGCTACCACAATTGGGTTTTTCGTCTAGTGCTGGGGACCCAACTCAGGTCCTCATGCTTACGTGGCAGGCACTTTACCCCCTAAGCCACTGCCCAAGATCCCAAGATGCACACAAACACAATGGTTACTATAAACTATGCTTGCACATCACTTACTAAAATGTTGAGAATCGGAATGTTATTCTGTAGTCATTATCTGATAATACTAAGATATAAGTATGTTCTTTTACTAACAACAGCTAAATAAAGGAAAACAATCATCTAAAATACAAAACAGAACACACGTGGCCTATAAGCTTTTAAGTGGACCTCAGTAAGTTTAGCACAGGAAGAAGACAGAGAAGTCTAGAACTCCCAGGAGCACCAATAAGAATACTTGCTATAGGTATATCTGTACACAAAAGTTAGCTTTTCATTCCTGTTTTTCCTATTTATAAATTTCATGTAAAGTCTTCATATAATTTGAAAATATAAGTCACAGTTACTTGCATATCAATGGAAAGACAGGGAGAGTAATGAGCATCCTTATTTATTTTACCTTATTTGTCTGCACATCAATGCAGTGTAGGGGACGTATGTACAAGTATGTGCATCTGCATGTGACAGCAGTGGCCAGAGGAGGGTACGGGGTATCTTATTCCTCTAAGGCAGAGTCTCTCCCAAAACATGGAGCTTGTCAGGTTTCTGGGTAGGCTGGAAGTCAGAAAGCCTCAGAGGTGCCCATCTTTGCCCCTTGAGCGTTAGGGCTGCAGGCGCGTGTGTGACAATGGATGGCTAATGACAGATTCTGAGATCCAGACTGCAGTAAGTGCTCTTGATTGACAAGCTGTCCCTTCAGCTCCTTACAAGCTACTTAGTTTTCTTGCAATTGCAGAATCAATGTTTATTTGGGAATAGATAACAAAGATGTAATTAAAACATACATATCTTTGGAAGTATTAAATAAAACTATTAGTTCATTAAATAAATCCTTTGTAATTATATCGCTCCCTTTTAAAATAAACTGCTATAAAAATCCATTCTTATGAATATATCCTACTTGTGTGATGTTTATGAATTGGGAATAAAATTTATGTTTCTCATTGAGTAAGAATTTATACACAAACTACATTTACTAATACATGTTTTCAGACAGTATCTGTGAAGACACCCTACTTATAGTAAAAAGTAGCTTCCAATAATAGCTCAATAAAATATCTATGTTTAGATCTAATAAGTCCTAAAACAAAGTAAAAAGAGTTGATTCAATGACCACTAAAAGAAGCAATGCATAGTTGTTGTAGTTAATAGTAAACAGTATTAGGCTCAATTGAAAGACGTATGGCAAAGGTCTGAACTCAGGGCTACTACAATGATCAAGAGAATAAGGAGACAGCAGTATATTTTTCAAACACAAAAAGCGTTAAAGCTCGTTGCCACTGAACTAACTGCCATGGGACGATAACAAGTTCCTATTTCTTCATCTAGCAAACTCTGGAGTCCATTTAATAGAGACTAGAAAGAAGGCAGCAAGGAGCGAGGGAGAGGTGAGGGAGCGAAGGAGAGGTGAGGGAGCGAGGGAGAGGTGAGGTCTGAGGTGGCATAGTGTAGACGCAGAGGCTCAGGTCAATATAAGCCCCAGTGTTCTCTGGAGCATCTAGAAGAGGTTGGGGGACCCAGGGATGAGAATGAGACTTCAGAGAGAACATTCTAATACTAGTCACTCCGTGTGTTCTTTTCCTTGTTTTTGAGTTCCAACCCTACCATTCAATATTATCTTTGCCATATTTTGCCATACTGTACACTATTCTAACCAACAGTCTGGAGTTGACCTTTCTTTAGAATCTCTTTTGCCTATTCTAACGGATCCCCATCCATATGCTTGTTGGATTTGTCATTTCCCATACATGTTAAACACATTAGAAAGGACAGACACTATAAGTCCAAAGAGTCATCTAGGACCCACTAGATGAACCATAGTGCAGAACAAACACACTGGTCTGTCTAGTTAGGTCAGTAACATAAGGAGGGCACAGGAGCCAATATAACCAGGCTAGGATATCTATGGACAGGCAATGTCTGATTTAATATCAATACTTTGTATGTATTGTATTTAGTCTCTAGTTTATCCTATTATGTACAATATTTTCTAAGTCTAAAGAGGTCAGAGTCCTAATATAACCAGGTTTTAAAAGAGAATATAAAAGTAACATTTATTAAAAAAGAAAAGGTAACATTTATGGTATGTTTACCATAGACCAGTCATTGAATAAGGTTCACCTTTTTGAAGTTAGCATACAAGTACTGGGTTTCATTATAGCATTTTCCTCCACATACACACACATACATATATATACATGCATACACATACATGTATACACATATATACATGTTTACACACACACACACACACACACACACACACACATGTCATCATGCTTTTGTTGCCATGTTGATCCTTTCAGGCAAATGCCTTTACCAGCTGACCTATTTCAATGGCTTTTTCTGTTCTGTGAGGAAGAGTCTAATGTATCATCACAGGCTGGCCTCAAAAATCACTATGTAGCCAAGAGTAACCTTGAACTTGAACTTGTGATCCTCTTGTTTCTACTTCCTCTCTACCAACTGGACTAAATCCAGCCCTTTGTTCTTTTTTTTTTAACCTTCTTATGGTTTCTTCTTCTTCCTTTTTGTAAAATTTAACTTTTTAATTGATCACCCTTGCAACCTCCTCTCCAAAAGAAAAACCATTCTCATTGTGGAAGCTATAGTCTGTCACTGTGTCCCACAGTAGACCCTTTTGCTCACACATCTTTACTTGCAAATGTTCACTGCAGTGAGTCACTGGCCTGGTTCCAGGCCTCTGGCTTCTGCCTCACTATTAGGATTGGATCCTTATTGGGACTCCTCTCAGATATCCTGTTGTTGGCATGTGTCATGAGCTCCTGCAGCTTTGGATCTACAGGACCTGCCCCTTTGTGCACTCCAGCAGTTCATAGATAGGGTAGATGTTGGGTTGGACCAACTCAAAGTCCTGGATCTGGGCCTGGGTGATAGCTGAGTTGGTCAGCCAGCCAGCTACCCACATCAGTATCACCAGGGCAAGCTCTGCAGTGCTGCCCCTGCTGGCTCGCCCGATGCTGCGGCCAGGAAGGAGCAGGGTCATCTCTCCTTGGAGCTAACTCTCCTGATCTCTGCCAGCTCACTGCTCATCCATGCCAACACCAGTCCTTTGTTCTCATTCATCTGCTTCACAACTGCTCTTTTCCTTCCTGCTCCCCTCCCACCCCCCGCCCCCACCATTGATCCCATTTTCCCCAGTACAGTCCCCACTTCTGCTCTCCTGTTAAACATACTCTACTCCCTGCCCACTCTTCCTTTCCCACACAATTCCCTTCCTTAAGATCTCTTCCTTACTTCTCATGGTTGCTTCTCTACTTCTATTACACACACACCACACACATGCACGCGCACGCGTGCACACACACACCACACACACGCACACACACGCACACACGCATGTACATATACACTAGGAGGGGGGAAGAATGTGGTTGTTGTCCGAGTGTACCTTATTTTGCTTACACAATGTCTAGTTGTGTACTTTTTTCTGTAAATGTTATGTTTCAGCTGCCTTTATAGCTGAGGAAGCTTCTACTGTGTCTACGTAGCACAATTCTTTGTCAGTTCACCCAGGGACTGGTAACTAGGTTGGTTCCATTTCTTAGCTAGTCTTTTTTTCCCCATTAATTAATTTATTCACTTTACATCCCAATCGCAGCCTCCCTCCTCCCAGTCCCCGCTTCACACAGCTTCCTACCCAGGGACTTGAGGTGCCAGGGTGGGTTCGTACCCAGGGGGTACCTCCTCCTTCTTGGCTATG